TCATCTACATGTATTGAAACTAGCGACATATCACTGCACTGAGGATGCCACCTCGTATGGTGGTGAAACGTTTGCGAGAAAACCGCCAAGCTCGGAGAACAAATGAACAATTGACGCATGTACTCGTTAACGGCGATTGGAGAGGATTTACCTGAGCCTTTGGCACGATTCGTCCAACACTGCTTTAACGAAATGTACCTACCTGACCTGTGAAAACACGGGATGGTTACTCCTATTCACAAGGATGGTAGTCGTTCCAATCCAGCCAACTACCGTCTTATACTCTTATTACCACTTTTTCCAAAGGTCATGGAAGCTATTATTTCTGCTGCTTTAATAGCCTACTTGGAAGAATTTAACTATCTCGCACCGGAACAGCATGGCTTCCGATAAAATCGATCGTGCAACTACAAATCTACCACTAGCACGATCCAGCTGGATTGAAGCATTACACTCTGGTTAGGAGTGGATGCAGTTTTTGTTGACTTCTCAAAGGCGGTCGAACTGTTAGACCATGACATTCTACTTGTCAAACTCCAGACATTTGGTATGGGTGCTCCATCAATAGGATGGATCAGAAGCTTGCTTCTACGCCAACGTTTGAAAATACGAATGTTTTGAATCGCTGTCAGATCCCATCCAACTTGAATGCGGAGTACCACAGGGATCGATATTTGGACAGAGATGATTTTTGGCGTATTTCAACGTTATCACACGCCACAGAAGCTCGAACTGCGGATGAGGTCAAGATGTGGAATGCGATAGATATAACAGATTATATCACAGTACTTCAAGCTGATTTGGATAGGGTATACGGTTAGTCAATCCAGGATCTACTTCGATTCATTGAGGACAAATGTAGAGTGCTGCACCTACGGCACCAGTTGTTCTACTCCTACAAACTCGGCAACTAGGAGCTTTAAACGTGTTCTGGCGAAAAGCATCTGGGAGTTTTGGTCTAGTTCGATCTTGGATGTTTGAATCAAGTTGAAAATGCGTCAAAGCGGGTCATCCAACACATGGACCTCCTGAGGCGTGCATTCGGATGATTCGACTCTTTGATTATTCCAAAACTTCCCGGTTCAAATATATGGCCACAAGTGAAATACGCAATACAGGAATGGCAGCCATGGCTGCGGAGAGAGCTTACCGCCTTGGAGATACCACAACACCTGGCAACCAAAAACGGCAAGGATCTGTATGATTTGACGTGTGAACGACGGCTACAAATGCCCGGAGTATTCAGCGGACAGCATGGGTGATTGCGCCGGAACCTCAATTTCATTTACCAGATTTTGAGAGAATTACAGAAATCACGGATGTCAGCCACACAGACAGCACATGCAAAGCGATCGATTTCCAGCGCGTGTGTTTGTAGGTTTGCTTGGAACGTCCAGCCAACCACATGGCACCTGACTTAACGGCTTTCCCGACAGTTGATTGTGGCGGCAGTTGTGCAAAGAAACTCTTTCAAACCGTGTCAATGCTGTCTTGTGACTAATTAGCGCGAGTTATAACAGAGAGCTCCTAATCACACTGCGTGACTAACGAGCGTGTTTGACGCATTGTTTATGGCCCAGGAAAAGGGAATGAACCGCTCAGCATCGTTATTTCCCTCACCAGGCTCGGATGGCTCGGCCACGTGTTACGCATGCCAGCCCACCGACTCCCTCGACATGGGTTGTTTGCTCACCGGGGATGTGGGTGGAAGAAGAGGAGAGATGGCCAAACGTTGACTTGGTCCAGGGGAATGAAGTCCCTCACTTCGGAGCTAGCCTCGGTTGGAGCGTCTCGGCTCCCTGGTTGGGGTCCAAAAGACGATGAACACGTTTGGCTGGATACACTTGCTGACATGGCAAGGAGCCGATCACAGTGGCGTTCCTGCTGTCAGTTTCTTTGTCCTTCCCCATCCCTTTTAGTCTCCCCCTCCATCTACGATCTCATTTCGTAGGGTAAAACATAATTTTTTTCTTTTTGCCTAGTAGCTGGCTGGAAGCTTACCGGAACGATGCCTATCCGTTACTGGTAGCTCAGCTGGCATGCAACTGTTGTATCTATTTTTCATTTGTGTATTGTGTTATATATATGTATGTATGTATGTATGTATTTCCTTCATGTATTGCGGCACAATAGCGGAGGTGTTTTCCCACCTCTAGCTGATGTGTAGAATGCCGATGATGCTGCTCCTAATCACAACTGCCGCTATTTTCTAGAGCTCAGTCACAACAGTAATTTGAGAGGCGACCCTCTCAAGCTACTAAAGCAACACAGTCTTTTGGAATGCCGTCCGAATTTCCTTTATGTATGCAGTACCTGAAATCACCTACCGGAATCTGTCATACGTACTCACACACTGGCAGAATTCAAAATCCTACTTGACCATGCACTTACTTAATTGCACCATCTTATATGACTCATTGGTCACGAATAAACGCCAGTGTCTGTAAGAGATTTTACTGTTGGTTGAATCCCAGATGTTGTTCCACTTTCTAACCTCCTCTATGTGCACACCAGGAAGAAACACGATTTTTACCAACATTCCATTTGACGTCATTCCTTATGGATTTGCCTCGGATTTACAGTTTATACTACGTATGCTACAGTGAGTTCATCGGTGTGAACCCAAGTTTGCTGACAACTTTTCTGTATTTTGTAGTTTCATGACTATCCTACGGAACCAGTTAAGCACTAGCTCTTTTTTACCCGTATAAAACCATTGTTTCAATGATCATAATATGCTGCAACCAGATATAGACCGCGCCTTTGAATGGTCAAAGAGAAATCTACTTCTGTTTAACACGGACAAGTGCAAAACCATGCATGTCCTCCACAAACCACATGATGAAAACCGCCTCACAAGAGCGCGATCTTTGTTTGGTGATGCAAGACGAACTTGGCTGTTCGGTGCAGTCTTTGAAAGCGCCAACAACTGCTAACCAGCATGTTGGTCTCCTACGGACGGCGCTCCAACTTCCCCTCAAACGCTCAATGGGTATGTGAGACCGCATGTGGAATAAGCGATTCAGACGTGGCAACCCTGTTTAAAACGCGATCTGGTTGCACTGGATATCGCAAAGCGAAGGGCAAGAAAAAATGTGAAGCGATTGCTCTACCCTCAATTCCATATGCGACTGAAAACCTTAGGAGTGTACAGCGAAAGTTATCGCCGTCTACGGGGCGACCTTATTCGGGTGTATCAGATCTTGAAAAACACCGATCACCCTTGCCGCAACCCGCTGAAACTTAGATGTAACACGCAATTGAGGGGTCACCAGCTGAAACTGGCTACGCAATGCATGCGGCTGGAGTGCCGCCGGAACTAATTTTATTCGAATTTGTCAGCCATGGAAAGCCCTCTGGACTTTACTTCTTTCTGCGCCACGCTACCCGTTTTCGAAAAACCATTCGACAATGCATTAGACCCCCTGCGTTACCTGATTTGATTTCTGTTTACTTAGTAATAACAGGACACGGACAAACATTGCTGTCGTCAGCCCCTACGAAATCGATGTAGACAGATTTAGACATGTGTGTAAACGGATTTGGTTCGCGGCATCCGGTTTCGGATTTGTCTGTCACTGTGGCAAGCCACATTATGCCTGCACCTGCAGAGGGACTATGGGTGGCTTGCGATGCACCAACCACAACTCCATCCACGCACCCCATATCCAGTGTAAACCCGAAGGAATAAGACCGGGAGGCATGTGGATGGGAGCCACGTTTCATCAACGGAGCCGGCCCACACTCCTTCACAGGCACACATAAGCTCGCTATATCTGGGAATCAATCGCACACGAGGCGGTGGCTGGACAGTAGCCCGCTACACACTGAGTGCATGGAACCACTCTTCGAGCCCATCGTGGCCACAAGGACCGTGCACCCCATCCCCTCCAGCAACGACCAACTGTCTCCTGGAGCCAGGATGAGCGAGGTAGTGGGTAATAGACAGGTAGGCACCTTTTCAACACGCACCTCAAGCGCAGCTCCACCGGGGATATCAAACAACAGCCAATCACTTGAAACGACAAGATGAAATAAAATAAATCCAATAGTGCATAGAGATACGGTGACTTAACTCTTCGCTAAATTAGCATATGAAGTAAGTTGGTTAGCAACGAATCCACGATAAGTACAAAATGTCCACAAGTTATTCAATAAATGCTACAAACGTGATAAAGTTAACGAAGATAAGCGCAATTAGCGTAAGCAATGTGTGCAAGTTAATACACGATTATTCAGGCAGGCAGAACAAAGGAATTAAAGTAATTAGATTTGTCCAGCTTAAAAAGACCTAGTTTAAGTTTAAGTGTAATTTGATTTATCCCAACTGCGGTGAAAAAGCGTCATGAATGCAACATCAGCCTCAGCATTGGGCGCATAAACGGGCACACATGTGCGTTAATGAACATAACTTGATTTACAGTGGATTTACCTTATTTACTGCGAATACCGCGGTGAGTCTACCGGTGTGGAGGTAAACTTGCTGATAATCATTGTCCCATCGTTCCATTATGATGAGGGGCTGGTTGGTCGTATGCAGAAATGAATAAAACCAATACGCGGATGTCATATAGATTGGGCCTGATAAAAGTCAAACGCATTGAACCCGAATTTCATTAATGAAGAGATACAGATGCACAGCCACCGGTAAGTTGATTGTCGAGTAGACGGTTGTACGGTATTGGTTACACACCTTATACCTAGTTATCTACCGTTGAAATACACCGGTATATGAATATATAAACAACACCCTGCCCATTCCGATGCCGCTGCCCAGGACACTGATGGGGCCACGAAGTGAGGAGCCCATGCGAATTATTCTCAGACCCTCTTGTGAGGAGCTGTTACTGCGAACTCATCTTTCTCACTGGTCGTGAAGTAACTGAGGTTTACAAGACTTGTGTTTAGCCTAATGGAAATGAGCGGCTGGAGTAGGATAGGGAGATACTTCTTTTTTAATAGTAAACAGCTATAACAATAACCAATGAATGAGCACTTACCGAACGTCACAACCTTCCAGAAGCAATGGATAAGGATACCAACCAAAAGTAATCCGCTGGGTTTCAACATCGGGCGGCGTTCAAGCTGCGATTAAAGCGAGCGAAGTAAGAAACTCTGTCCTAACCGCAATGAGTCCGGTAGATGCGTGAGGATTGGTCTGGCGTATCTATTGATCTCACACCATCGTTATGGAACAGTTCAGTAGGAAACCAATCAGTGAACTACAAAATGACAACTATTAAGTAGCATACAACACCGTAAAACAATACCCAGAGGAATCGAATTCGCGTGACCATGTATCTCATCTTGCGGGGTCGCTTTTAACATGAGACCATGACCTCCAAGAAATCTCTTTATTCTAGGAGAAGTGATAATATGCCAGTGGAAGGAACACATCCGGTGCAATGTGTCAGTGTGGTTGAAAAGCTGCATTCGGGACTCGATCGCTTTTCTCCACCTGCTTCGAACGTGAACTTACACTCCCAAAACGAAGTTTACGGTTTGGTGGAAGGCGTTTTATTGACTGACAGTACCAAATCAGGATTAACAGACGCTTTTAACATTCACACGGGGAGCAAAGCGGAAGGCGATGCTGAGAAAGCGGTGCGTTAGTAAAACCGGTGAGCAATTGACATGGTTGAACGTCATGTTAAGCACACACCAAGGAAACGAACTTTCACGAAACGATCTCTCATTGTCAACACTAGCGGACCAGAAGTCCATGCGAAAGCAGTAGTACTCAGATTTTGGTAGTTCTATCCCAATAGTAAGAGAGTATACATAGTTAGAAAAAGCCGCATATTTTCCTCAGTCAGTGGTTTTGGAAAGAGAGGCATGCAAAAGGTACATCTTAGAAAGCGGTGGATAAACGTCTTAATGGATGAGTGAGTAGAGTAGAATATTACAACGGTGCTTGGGACCTGTTGTTACACGCCTAGAACTTATAAATTTGCTGATGACAATTAATTTCCTGGGATGGGCGAGGTGGAATACATAACTTTAATGTTTGGTTTAAAGGGTAGGGGTACCTTAAAGTTGGGATAACGACTACATCACTGAAAAGAGATCAGCGCAATGGTTTTCCAGCTGCACGTCGGCAAGGTCTATCGAAACACCATAAGCTGGATGGGCCGAGTAGCTCTTGGGGAAATCTGACGCTGGCTAACCCCCCTTCCCCCACGACACCATCTTAGCCTATTTTCAATCCGAAACAAAGAAAGGAGGAGTAAGAGTGCCATCTTTTTCCAGATCCCCTTAGTTCAAAGAAGCAACTTGATTCGTTTGGCTACTTCCCAGACGAGCGGTTCCGGCAGATGGTTTACATACAGTCATCTGCGGGTGGAAATTCTTAGCGCTAATTTGCCGTCGCTGTAAGCCGGATTTGACTGCGTCTAAAGGCCAAGCGCTTAGGTCCAAATGATGTGGTAGTTTTAGGCGCGTAACGTGCACCATGTGTATGCTTTCGCCTGTCTAGACTTTTCCGTTTATAGAAATGTGTTCTACGTCCGCGAATGACGAGAACAATCAATGCGCTGAGATATCACAACCCAACTTCTCTCACTGCGTTGCTTAGTTAGTTGAAAGAGTTTTGGTGCTTGGTTTATCCCCTCGGACGCTGTCAAACGTGTCTACTTGCTTCTCGTTGAAGATACCTAGTCAGCTACATTGTATGAGCGCTTTGAAACGTTATTGATTTGATCTTACTTTTCCTGAAAACGATGACACAACGATTTCTACTGTGAAGGGGCATTGAAACGCATGGTATTGTAGAGGGGCCGCTTCCAAGAATGGCTCTGGGGAGCTCTTCGGAGCTAGCTGAGAGCGGATCGCGAAAGACGGCTAGCGACGAGCCTGGGCCCGGAACTACGGAGCGGGAATATGTGGACAGCGCAATAAATCAGACAAATACGCCGCTAGCGCAGTCCACAGGACCGAGGCCGAGCCGATTGACACAGCCCAGGACAAGCAAGTCGAGAGCTCTCGAACGACTCCTGGCCGATCCAAATCGGGTGCAGAGAAGCGGAGATCGAGGCGAAAACAGGAAGGCGGATCTTCCAAGTCAGAGCTCCCGAGGCGAAAGGACTGGCTCGTCTCCAACATCCGTACCTGTGTTGCGTGGTGGGACGGAAATCTAGTCGATATTCGATGGCGCGCGCGAGACCCTCATGTGTCCATTTTCGGTGTGCAATAAACGTCTACCCCCCTGTCTTGTCTTTCTCGCTACCGTATCACACACACGGGGCTACACTTCTAGAGCGCATCTACACAGAATGAACTGAGTGAATTCCACATCGTGAAACGTACTTGGGACCGCTAGTGAATCATTGGCTTAGAGAGATTTGGAAACAATGGTTTATCGCGATTATCACCCTGTTAAAGTCCAAATAGAACATGATCCCTCACCTTGTATGGATTATCCACTTGGGAGCATGGTATACCTAATACCAATCCGTTTCCCTATTCTCATGCAGAATTTCACACCTGTATACTTGAAACATCTGCAGTAGTAACAATTCAACGCTTTTATTTCGCAACATAGTATATTCTTGAATCCTTAAGGCTAAATAGTTCAACTGTGACGGATTGCGGATTGGCGAACTACTACGCTGCAACGTTTTCGCACATTGATGCACTTCTTCCTGCATCGGCCCCACTTCATTACAATTGCATACCTATCCGCAAATTGTCTAATGTTTCTCATTTGTAGCATAGAACCACAATAATAGAAGTTTACGTTTTATTTCCTCAGCCCAGACCGTGCATAAAGTTTAGGTTCACATGTCCACGGTTTCCCGTTGAAGTCGCTACATCTCCTTTTCCTCACAAAATGCCACTCCAGTTGAATATTGACTCCCTTAACTAGTCGAAGCTTCTACGTCAAAAAGGAAACGTTACTCAGCAAACAATCCAACTGATTGCTTCCGAATCGCACTTAACTCAGTAAATTTCACTTCACGGCTTACAGGTGAAACAAACAGAAAGGCACAGCGGCAGTTATTAGGAATGATGGTAGACCTAACGTTCAACATCATCAACGTTTAGCAGTTGCGCATCAGCAAGTTAAGATGAGCATTTCGGCAGCTGTAGTTCATTTAGGCCATAGCACCAGTAGCCACGTGGCTTTCTCAACTGTATTTTCGGAGACTGCCTACGCCAGTTCTCGTTGACTGTGAAGTAACAATACACGTCGCCCCGTACTAGGCGTCCGGTGAAGTATGTCGGGATAACAGCACATTCGAATGGTTTGGATTCTGCTTATGGACATACGGCACCTCGATACGCATCGCCAAAAAGTGGACTTGTCACTATAGCTATCCCAGGCAAGTTACTGCAGATGATTGCAACCGTCTGGGTATACAGTCACCCTGTGAGGAAATTGTGGTGAAGTTTCGCCCCATGCGTAAAGCCCATGAGAAGTTGACTTACATCAATGGCATGGTGTGCCGTTTGCTGTCCCCTTGTGACTTGCAGATGAAGTCTTCCCATGCTAACTCATGTCCTTCAACTGAATTTGCCGTATGACTCGTTGAGAAAGCATGGTTGGCGGCATCCGGATTCGGATTTGCCTGTCACTGTGGGCAGCCACAAGACGCCTGCCCCTACAGAGAGACCATGGGTAGCTTGCGCTGCACCACCCACAGCTCCAGCCGCACACCCCATATCCAGTGTAAACCCGAAGGAATAAGACCGGGAGGCATGCGAATGGGAGCTACGTTTCATCAACGGAACCGGCTCACACTCCTTCACAGGCAAACACAAGCACGCTGTATTTGGGGAATCAAGCGCACACAAGGCAGTGGCTGGTCGGTAGTCTGCTCCACATTGAGTGCATGGAACCGCTCTTTGAGCCTAGCACGGCCACAATGACCGTGCATACTTACATAGAAAAGGACATCCATAAACATAACGACTGTACTTCAGTGGAGAAATATGATGATGATGACCTTGTCAGCGTGTGCGTGCTAATCGTGCAATCCTGTGCTCTGTGTTTAATTGGACGTATCCCTTCAAATTCTTGTGCCACGTCTTCGGAAGTACGCTCAATCGATTCGGATCACTGAGCTCTATCCAACGGCGTCTATATTTTTGAAGTAAGTCCAACGACACGCTACTACACCACAAACTAAGTCTTCGGAAGTCTATTCACCAAGGCTAACTTGAGTAACTTTGCTTATTTGAGTTTCATCAGTACCTTGGGATACCATTCGACAGACCTTTTTTAAGACTGTCAGACAATATATAACTTAGTACTGTGCACCAGTTTATACCATAGACACAAGCATTTTTGTCATCTCACCTTACCACCATATTTTTACGTGCATTTCACTGCACAAAGCCTGTGTGATTTTGCATATCCGTGCGCCTAGTGACGCACCACCACCAAACCCGCTGACCGGAGCAGACAACAGGCAGCCCAAACGACATGATCAGCGCAATCTAAAAGTGCATACCGACCATTGATCCATGGGCCGGAGAAGTTTGTCAACCGGGAATTCAGTGAGCAACAAAGCTAAGGTCAACCGGGGCTCAGACAAGCAGGGAACTGAAATCCGCTCGAAAATCACGTGTTCGTTCTGTGCCAATTCATATGACGCGACAAATGTGAACATTACACTTAACGATGCTAACAGCGTATCGACAGATAGCTTGTGGTTTTGTGACATATGTTCAAATAGTCCGATAATTAAGATTGTTCAAAAACTAACGATAACGTGTGAAGCATTGACTATTACGTCTGCAGACCAAAAGGAACTGATCGCAGCATTGGGAGGGAAAATTTCAGAACTCGAGTTGCAGATTAGTGCATTACGTAGCCCGAATCCCCGACCTGTTAAAAGGCAAAAGCTCTCTAGCAAAAGTGCTACCCAGTCCAGCGAAAGGCAAACACCGTTAGTGAAAAACAGCAGTGAAAACAGGCCGCTTGAACGGTACCCCAAGTCTCACGTAATGCGCCAAAGCTTGCAGAGTTACGCACAAATTGCATGCTCGCCGTCAGTAGCTGGTAAACAACAATTGACCCCTACAGATAGCGCAACCAGCGGCGTTGCACGTAAAAATTCTTGTTGTAG